AGGGAAAGGGGGAGGAGAGGGGGAGGAGAGGAGAGAGGAGAGGGGGGAGGAGAGAGGGGAGGGGGGAGGAGAGGGAAAACTTTTGTCGTCCCTACAGTAGTTGACTAGCTACTCTCCGCACTCACAATTCTGCGCGCTCTGTTGACCTGATCTGGTCGCCAGCGCCGTAAAACCCATGCAATGTGGGTGGTTGGCGGGTGCTCTAGTGTGGTTTGCTTCTTCTTTCCTATCAAGCATCTATCGTCTTTATCTCCCCCCCTTTTCTTATGTTTGTTACTCTCTTGTAACACCTCTAATCTTCGGCACTTATATGACCTTATAGTGTTGCAAATGCCGTAAAACACTTGCTAAAACTGAACTAAACCCATGCAATATCATTTTGAAATTTTTAATTAAAAAAAAAAAAGGATAGATGTAGATAGATGTATGTAACCAGTAGCACTTCCCATGTCGGTCCCTAGCGTGTAGAAAGATGGAGACCACAAGGTACTTAATTGCTTCATCAAGTTTTAGTTTTGGTATTAGTAACAGTTTTACGGCGCTTGCAACACAATTAGGTCATATGATACGTACCGAAGAATAGAGGCGTTGCTAAAGAGGTTCTAGATCTACATGCAAAGACGAGAAGGAGGAGAGATTTAATAAGGACGACAGATGTTTGATAGGAAAGAAGGAGCAAACCACAGCAGAGCACCCGCCAACCGTCCACACTTTGACGTCAAGACTGTGGATCTATCTAGATTTCGTCAGCTGCGCGTAAACCTCTTCACGGCCAGCCAATCAGCGGCCAGTTTAGGCATCACGTGACACAAGAACTTCACCGGCTTGAGGAAATGATCGGCGAATCAGGCTGAGGGATTAGCCCCGTGACGTAGGCCTAAAGTGCGTAATTATGTCTGTGAGCCTAAGCTTCCATAAGACGATTTCAATGTCGTAACTGCGAGAAAAGATAAACCAGCGAAGATGATATTATATATATTTTTTTTGTACATAGCCAGTCTACGTGCATGGCAAGGTTAGATTAGGATTAGGAGGAGGAGGGGGGGGAGGCAGAAGGAGAGAAGAGTAGGGAGGGTGGAGGAGGAGGAGGAGAGAGGTAGCGACGTAAGGGAGAAAATACACGTACGTACATGAAGTGACGCATAAGGGGGGGGGAGGAGAGAAGAGTAGGGAGGGAGGGAGGAGGAGGAGAGAAGAGAGAAGTAATAGCGAGGTAAAAGACAAGGCAACAACTCTACTAGTGGAGGAGGAGGAGGAGGAGGAGGAGGATAATGGGATAAGAAAAATGGGGAAAAAAGGAAGCGAGCAAGAAAAAAAGAAGGAAAGAGAGAAAGGAACGAAGGAAGGAAGCCCACTCACCCGAGTAGTCACAGAGGTGACAGAAGAACACGTCCTTGACCTCGCCCGGGTTCCCGCCCACACCAGGCAGGAAGGGCGGGCCAGACGGGGGCATGGGGGGTCCACCGGAGAGGTCAGGGGTCATCCCAGGCACGGAGAAGTGACCGGCCAGCTCTTTGCCGAACGGGAAGTTGGGGTGTCGGGGCGCGCCGGACGGCAGCTGTCTCATGGCTGCTCCGAAGGGCGGTCGGTGGGTGGTCGGCGAGGGCACTGGCCCCCCGTGTCGGCCTGGGAAGAACTGAGGGTGGTGGTGGGGGTGGGGGTGGTGGT